CCAAGCATTGAAATGAAGAACTGTTTTCCAAGAGAGTTGGAAATGAGCCATGAAGATATGATGAGGCGGATTCATATCTGATGCCAACCTCTGTAGATGGGGGAGTTCAGGCAGTCATTGCCAACGGAGTATAACTTTGAGGTGTTGGGGTCATCTCTCTAAGATAAAGGGCTGGAGGAGTAAGTGGTGAGCTGTAGTTGCCAGGTACCTGCTCTACTTTTATGTTGGAATTGTTGCCATCTCATTTCAGTCCTCGTGTCACAGAACAGAAACTGCATATCAATGAGGTGAATTTAGGTATTAGTGACATTTAAAGGGATGCAAATTGACCTTCACCACTCACCGCCTCATCTCAATATTCAAACCTTGCTTGCAGAACTGAAGCTTTTTCTCTTGATGCCGAGAATCTCAATTCCCCAATTGTGCCATATTTTCCCCACTGCCTCGCCATTGCCCACATCATTCAACGGTTGGAAAAAGTCAGCCTTTTATCTGTTCCCTAAGAAAAGGCATAGGGAAATGCAGCAGCGATAGACTTAGCCTCCTAACCACCGAGAACGCACCTGATAAAGATTTTATTCATAAAAACTACTTTTGGTAAAAAGTATGGTTGAAACATTTTTGCCCATAGGCTGTACACTTGACACAGAAAATATATTTTTCTGTAATAAGACTATTATCAGCAGACATTTGATAGTGCAGAACTTAAGACTTACTAAAAGAAGTCACATTTTGTTGAAGCTTTTCATTTTGCAGTTGACAGGAAAACTTGCATGCACAAGGAAAGAGTACGGATTGATTGACAAGTGGACTCTGATTGGTGAAAGCATCTGATTTGTAGATGATTATATTAACAAAATACATGTCATTCTTAATGGCTGGTCCCAGTTTGTACTCAAATGTCCTGCCATTCAACATGCCCAGCAATTAAGAGCAACATTCGATCCAAGTCGGAAGGTGGTTTGGGGTTTCATATCAGTGCAAAATGAGCCACAGTCAGTCGAGCACAACTAGACAAGGGATTCATGATACAACAGTAAGTTGCACAGAGGCCAGTCAAGAGCCCAGTCACTCTTCAGTCAGGGAAAGCTGTCCAATTTGTTTGGGGGGTGCGCCACCTAACGGTCTGCTCATTGAAAATCAAGGGAGTTGTCAGAGGCCACAGTTATGAGATGAAAGTTGGGAAATCAATTTTGGGATTGAAGGCAGCATGCTGAGATGCAATGGGAACAGTAATAACGAAGGAGAGCAACTCAACATAAAAGTATGTGTGACCACAGTGCATTTGAGGTCATAGGTCATCACAGAGGAGGGGAGAGCAAGCCTGGCTTCGACAGGAGGACAACACAACATGATTGTTGGCAATGGCTAAGCTATGGGGCTGGAGCTCAGGAGGTAAATATTGGGAGATGAAGACTTAAACAAAAGAGTTGGATGGGAACACGTCGAAGCTCAGTACTGAAGGGCTTGATAGGGAATACAAGGAAGAAAGGGACACGGAGCTCCAGGGAGGGGTTGCTTACTGAGCCTGCGACATATTCTTCCGAGCGGGACCTGCATTGCCTACCATCCCCATCCAAGTCATAAATACGCAAAGGAAATGGAAATGGTTGGGACCACACTAGAGGTTTGCAGAGTAAGTAGTTTTTCTATATAGCACATTGGTGAATGATGTGACAATTACATTAATCAAGCACTTACATGGAACAGGTTAAAGAATTCTGTAATCATATTTCGTTGCATTGAAATGCATGCTGTGTCTAACTATATGGGCTGCAAATCTTGGTCAAAAGCAATCGTTACCACGGCATTAGTCATTACAGATTAATTATAGGTATCTCTAAAGCAGAAGTAATCTTAGGCAAAAGTGTCACTTGTAGGCTACAATTTGCAAAGACAATCCAAGATCTTACAAGCTACACAATAGCACAGCTGATTTCCTCTCATCTTGAACTGTAAGTATTTGCCAACATGCTGTTATTTGCAATGTTACCTTACTTGGGTGCTATGGCTTGGGAGGGACAAGGTTTAAGCAATCCTATTGCACTCAAAATTTTCTACTATATTGGTGCAACACAGTTTGCGCTGCATACATGGGAATAAGATCCCTTATGTCAACATCCATATAAAGGCTGCAGTGCTATGAGATGCAGAGAAATGAAAGAGGAACAGACATCCCAATAAGCTCAAGATTAACAGTAACAACAAAAGGTTGCCAAACAGATTCCATGTGAAAAAGTTGTAGCTGGATGTCCCCTAAGGACTTTGAGGTAAGGAAGGCCCAGAGTCCATTGTCTTCAATGCCATTTCTTCCACATGAGCAAGGCGCCACTGCAGACCAAAGCTGTACAGGACCCATCACAAACTATGTCAATTGCTGGAGTGGGACCTGTGACCTGAAGAGGTGGGGTGGCTGTCTGATTTTGGTGACTTCCATAAAAGTTCATGCTTTCCAACGTTTGATGGTCCCCCATTGAGCAATATGATGATGACTAGGTCATTATGGAAAAAGAGTAGCACTTCATTAGGCAGAGATCTAATGGCGCTAACGCTGAGTCCTCTGTACAGTTTGATTCTTTTACAGTGGAGTTACAATGACAATCCATCAGGCAGGTGATGATACAAATAGCAAAACATTGGCCAATGTGCTCGTATTTGCAACGAACGTCACACTGACCACCTATGTGTCCTCAGAAGGTTTTTTCCACTTCTGTGACATGCACCATGAAGGGCAGCTCTGCGCTAGTAGTGCTTGAGCGGGTAAACAGGCTAAGTGTGGAGCTAGAAATTCTATTATTGTGGAGCACTTAACTTGTTGGTGAGGGTGAGTTTGCATTAGAGTAGTACCATAGAGGTATGCTGCATAAATAATGAGGCAAGCTGTGGGTAATTGCATGAGGCAATTCAGAGAGAAACCCTCCATTACACTCCCCAAAATTGGCAACAGCCAATTAACTGACCAATACTTTGGCTTGTGTTTTATCAAAATTGGGTAAAACCAAAAAATTGTTCATTTAATTGGCTAGACTCAGTTGGCAAAGGCAACCATTACTAGATTTAATTACCCACAGTTCATCCACTTCAACACCTTCCACCCCAACCTTAAGTTCACCTGGACCATCTCTGATACCTCTCTCTCCTTCCTGGACCTCTCCACTTCCATCTCTGGCAGCCACCTGGAAACCGATATCAATTTCAAGCCCACTGACTCCCACAGCTACCTAGAATACATCTCCTCCCACCAACCTTCCTGCAAAAATGCCATCCCCTATTCCCAATTCCTTCGCCTCCGCCGCATCTGCTCCCAGGATGAAGCATTCCACTCCCGTACATCTCAGATGTCCTCGTTTTTCAAGGACCGCAACTTCCCCCCCCACCCAGTGGTTCAGAACGCCCTCGACCGTGTCTCCCGCATTTCCCGCAACAACCAAAACAGAATCCCCCTCGTCCTCACGTACCACCCCACCAACCTCCGGATCCAACGCGTTATCCTCCGACACTTCCGCCATCTGCAATCCGACCCCACCACCAAAGACATTTTCCCCTCCCCACCCTTATCTGCTTTCCGGAGGGACCACTCTCTCCAGGACTCCCTTGTCCGCTCCACACTCCCCTCCAGCCCCACCACACCCGACACTTTTCCCTGCAACCGCAGGAAGTGCTACACCTCCCCCCCCTCATCCCCATCCCAGGCCCCAAGAAGACTTTCCACATCAAGCAGATATTCACCTGCACATCTGCTGATGTGGTATACTGTATCCGCTGTTCCCGTTGTGGCCGCCTCTACATTGGGGAAACCAAACGGAGGCTTGGGGACCGCTTTGCAGAACACCTACGCTCGGTTCACACTAAACAACTGCACCTCCCATTCCTCAGATGACATGCCCATCCTGGGCCTCCTGCAGTGCCACAATGATGCCACCCGAAGGTTGCAGGAACAGCAACTCATATTCCGCTTGGGAACCCTGCAGCCCAATGGTATCAACGTGGACTTCACAAGCTTCAAAATCTCCCATCCACCTACTGCATCCCAAAACCAGCCCAGCTCGTCCCTGCCTCCCTAACCTGTCCTTCCTCCCACCTATCCTCCCCACCCCACCTCAAGCCCCAACCCCATCTCCTACCTACTAACCTCATCCCGTCCCCTTGACCTGTCCGTCCTCCTGGACTGACCTATCTCCTCCCTAACTCCCCATCGACACTCACCTTTACTGGCTCCATCCCCACCTCTTTGACCTGTCTGTCTCCTCTCCACCTAACTTCTCCTCTATCCATCTTCTATTCGCCTCCCCCTCTCTCCCTATTTATTTCAGAACCCCCTTCCCCTCCCCCATTTCTGAAGGAGGGTCTAGGCCCGAAACGTCAACCTTCCTGCTCCTCTGATGCTGCTTAGCCTGCTGTGTTCATCCAGCTCTACACCTTGTTATCTCAGAACTACTAATATCTGAGATAGCAATCATTATTAATATCTCTTCTTGTTTTGTTCCATACCATCAACGTTCCTAGATCTCTACAAACCACTAATAAAAAGCACATCCACTGCCCTTCAGCAAGACCCGCCCCTCATCGCTTGGGACTACACTGAATGGTTCGTTTCTGAACCATGACGTGATTGGCCTGGATCGGCGCAGCTCCCCAGTTCTGATTGGTATGTTCAGTATCCCCACTTTGGTCTGCTCTGGCACAGATTCCCATCAATGATTGGCCTGTTCAGTTTCCCAGCTCCGACTGGTCTGCTCAGTGTCTCAGTTCTGATTAGTCTCTTCTCCCAGTCATGATTGGTCTGTTTTGTCCTTCCAGATCCGATTGGTTTATTCTGGTGCCGCCCTCAATTGATCGGCCTGCTCACATTCTCAGCTGTGATTGGTGCGGAGCTGTGTCAGTCAGTGAGTGCATCTGCGGCCATGTAGAGGGTAAGGTTGATAGCGATCCTGGGACTGATTTGGGTGATTGTTTGGGAAGCTGTTAACCCCAAGCTCAGTTGAGTTTGCGGAAGCAGTGTGGCTCTGTCGGTGAATTATTCACTGAGTTAAATCTGGAGCTGTTCGAGCTGCTTCTTGTGCCTGAGACAGTTGGTTACTGAAACTCTGGCCTGCCTCCGATCAGTCCACGAGCTGCGTGATCCCAGTGGAAGCCAAGCTGTAAAAGTTGGATGTAACCGTACGGTATTTAGCCAGTGGGAACATGTGATTAGACAGTCTACATTCTGGATTTAATTATTCTTAGCGTTACTCTTGAAGATGGACTGAAAATTTAATACCCGGAGGTGTATTGTAATCAGTGGTTTCATTGTTGCCCGTTTCACAACGTTGCAGCATCGCAGTTCAGCGTGGTTCCCTGCTGATAACATCGCTTCTTTCCTGTCCTCGCTCTGTTCATTTCAGAAATCTATTCATTTTCCTCCCCCCGCCTCCCCCAAACCCCCAAACATTGCATTTTGGCCTTCGGCAAAAACATCTGAACGTACAATGTCAGGTTCCCTCAAAGAGATATTTTTAATCAACCTGTTCAGACATCTTAGGACACACCTCCAGGGGAAAGGGGTCTTGGACCTTCTAGCTCAGAGGTAGGAACACTACAACAAAAAACAGAAACTGTTGGAAAAGCTCAGCAGGCCTGGCAGCATCTGTGCAGAGAAATCAGAGTTAATGTTTCAGGTCTGGTGACCCTTCCTCAGAATTGCCCTGTTGTGCAATATGGATCTTTCATAGATGTCAGCTTTACCTCACCATTGCTTCACTTGGCCCATCCACTCCCTCTGTATGGTCAAGATTTTCTCATCTGATGTTTAATCCTGAGAGCTGAAATTTCCAATAATTAAACATTGGGAATGTAATCTTCTTTGGCTCCACAGCTATCTTTACAGATTTTGCTTTCAATTTCCATCTTGCTGTCACCTTCATCTGGTCCATCTCTGCCTTCTCCCTTGCCTTCGACAGTGATAAGGAAGAACTGTAGGAAAAGAGAGAGCCAGTCATGGATGTCTAAGGAAATAAAGGAAAGTATCAGATTTGAAAAAAAAAACACATACAAAAAAGCAAAGAGTAGTGGGAAACTAGTAGACTGGGAAATCTTTAAAGGCCAACAGAAAGCCACAAAAAAAGTTATAAAGAAAAGTAAGATAGATTATGAGAGTAAACTAGCTCAGAATATAAAAACAGGAAGCAAAAGCTTCTATCAATATGTAAATCGTAAAAGAGTGGCGAAGGTAAACATTGGTCCTTTAGAGGATGAGAAGGCCAACTTAATAACTGGGAATGAGGAAATAGCCGAGACATTAAACAGTTATTTCATGTCGGTCTTCACAGTGGAAGACACAAATGACATGCCGAAAACTAACGGCAAGAAGGTTATAGCAGGTGAGGACCTAGAAACTATCATTATCACTAAGGAGGCAGTGCTGGGCAAGCTAATGGGGCTAAAGGTAGACAAGTCTCCTGGCCCTGATGAAATGCATCCCAGGGTACTAAAAGAGGTGATGGGGGAAATAACAAATGCACTAGTAATTATTTACCAAAATTCACTGGACTCTGGGGTGGTTCCCGCAGATTGGAAAACAGCCAATGTGACGCCACTGTTTAAAAAAGGGAGTAGACGAAAAGCAGGTAACTATAGGCCAGTTAGCTTAACTTCGGTAGTGGGGAAAATGCTTGAATCTATCAGTAAGGAAGAAATAGCAAGATATCTGGATATAAATTGTCCCATTGGGAACACCCAGCATGGGTTCATGAAGGGTAGGTCATGTTTAACTAATTTGGTGGAATTCTTTGAGGACATTACTTTCATGGTGGACAATGGGGAACCTGTGGATGTGGTGTATCTGGATTTCCAGAAGGCATTTGACAAGGTGCCACACCAAAGGCTGCTACATAAGATTAAGTTGCACGTTATTACAGGTAATGTATTGGCATGGGTAAAGGATTGGTTGACTAGTAGAAAGCAAAGAGTAGGGGTAAATGGATGTTTTTCTGGTTGGCGGTCAGTGGCTAGTGGTGTGCCTCAGGGATCAGTGTTGGGACTGCAATTGTTTACAATTTATATCGATGAATTGGAGTTGGGGACTAAGTGTGGTGTGTCAAAATTTGCAGATGACACTAAGGTGAGTGGTAGAGCAAAGTGTGCAGAAGACACAAAGTCTGCAGAGGGATATGGATAGTCTGAGTGGGCAAAGGTCTGGCAGATGGAGTACAATGTTGATAAGTGTGAGGTCATCCATTTTAGTAGGAATAACAGCAAAATGGACAATGTTTTAAATGGTAAAAAACCTGCAGCATGCTGCTCTGCAGAGGGACTTGGGTGTCCTTATGCATGAATCACTAAAAGTAGGATTGCAGATGCAGCAGGTAGTTAAAAAGGCAAATGGAATTTTGTCTGCCATTGCTAGAGGGATGGAGTTTAAAAACAGGGAGGCTATGCTGCAGCTGTATAGGATCCTGGTGAGGCCACACCTGGAGTACTGTGTGCAGTTTTGGTCTCCTTACTTGAGAAGAGATATACTAGCACTGGAGGGGGTGCAGAGGAGATTCACTTGGTTGATTCCAGAGTTGAGAGGGTTGGATTATGAGGAGAGACTGAGTAGACTGGGATTATACTCATTGGAATTCAGAAGAATGAGGGGAGATCTTATAGAAACATATAAGATTATGAAGGGAATAGATAAGGTGGAGGCAGGGAGGTTGTTTCCGCTAGCAGGTGAAACTAGGACTAGAGGGCATTGCCTCAAAATAAAGGGAAGCAGATGTACGACTGAGGTCAGGAGGAACTTCTTTACCCAAAGGGTTGTGAATCTGTGGAATTCCCTGTCCAGTGAAGCAGTTGAAGCTACCTCGCTGAATGTTTTTAAGGCAAGGCTAGATAAATTTTTGAACAGTAAAGGAATTAAGGGTTATGGTGAGTGGGCGGGTAAGTGGAGCTGAGTCTCAAAAAGATCAGCCATGATCTTATTAAATGGCGGGGCAGTCTCGAGGGGTCAAATGGCCTACTTCTGCTCCTAGTTGTTATGTTCTTATCTCCATTTCCAGACCTATGCTTGTCACCGATATCTATTACAAACCCACCAACTCCCACAGTTACCTGGACTATATATCTTCACACCCTGCTTCATGTAAAGACTCCATTGCATTTTCCCAGTTTCTGAGTCCATTGCATCTCTTCTGATGATGCCACCTTTGGTGGGGTTTCGGTGGCTTCAGAAATGTCCACCTTTCTTCCTCAATCAAGGATTTCCCACGACTGTGGTTGGCAGGATCCTCAGATGTGTCTGACATCCTTCCTGAACTTTTGCCCTCATCCCTTCCCTCCAACAATGATGATAGAGTCCCCGGTTCTCACTTTCCACCCCACTAGACTTTGCATCCAAAGGATCATTTCCAACACGTCCAACGGGATGCTGCCACCAGATACATATCCCCGTTCCCTTGCTTGTCAGTGTTGCATAGGAACTGTTCCCTCTGGAACACTTGGGGCCACTCCCCAACTTCCAACAATCCCATGGAACCTTCCCATGCATTTGCAGAAGGTGCAACACTTGTCTGTTTTTCTACTCTGTCTGCACCTTCTAAGGCCCCTGATACGTTTTCTAGGTGAAGCAGCAATTTACTTGCACTTCATTTAATGTAGTCTGCTGTATTCACTGCTGGCAATGTAGTCTCCTTAACAATGGGAAGGTGAAATGCAGACTGGTGACCACTTTGTGGAACACCTATGCTGTGTCCATAAAAGTGACCCTGAGCTTCCAGTTGCCTGCCACTTCAGCACACCACTGTGTTCCTATGCAACATTTCTGTCTCAGGCCTGCTGTATTGATCCAGCAAAGCTCAACGCAAGCCGGAGGAACAACACCATTTTTTGCCCTGGTACTTCACAGTCTTCAGGAGTCAACACTGAGTTTAAAAATTTCAGAATGTGAACACTCTCCCTCCAACAACTTGCCCATCTGATGTCAGGCTCACTGGTCTCAGTAGTGGGCACGTTGTTGGAGGGGATCCTGAGGGACAGGATTTACACTTAATTGGAAAAGCAAGGATTGATTGATTGAGGATAGTCATTATGGCTTTGTGCCTGGGAAATCGTGTCTCACTAACTTGATTGAGTTTTTTGAAGATGTAACAAAGAGGATTGATGAAGGCAGAGAGGTGGATGTGATCTATATGGACTTTGGTAAGGCTTCAACAAGGTTCTGCATGGTAGACTGGTTAGCAAGGTTAGATCACTTGGAATACAGGGAGAACTAGCCATTTGGATACAGAACTGGCTTGAATGCAGGAGACAGAGGGTGGTGGTGACGGGTTGCTTTTCAGACTGGAAGCCTGCGACCAGCAGTGTGCCACAAGAATTGGTGCTGGGTCCACTGCTTTTCATCATTTATTTAAATGATTTGGATGTGAACATAGGAGATATGATTAGTAAGTTTGCAGATAACACCAAAATTGATGGTGCAGTGGATAGCGAAGATGGTTACTTCCAAGTACAATGGGATCTTGATCAGATAGGCTAATGGGCCGAGGAGTGATAAATGGAGTTTAATCAGATAAATGTGAGGTGCTGCATTTTGGAAAGGCAAATCAGGGCAGGACTTATACATTTAATGGTAAGGTCCTGGGGAGTTTTGCTAAACAAAGAGACCTTGGAGTGCAGGTTCATAGTTCCTTGAAAGTAGAGTCGCAGGTGGATGGGATAGTGAAGAAAGCGTTTGGTACACCTGCCTTTATTGGTCAGTGCATTAAATGTAGAAGTTGGGAGGTCATGTTGCAGCTGTACAAGACGTTGGTTAGGCCGCTTTTGGAATAATGCATTCAATTATGGTCTATCTGCTTTAGGAAGATGTTGTTAAACTTGAAAGGGTTCAGAAAAGATTTACAAGGATGTTGCCAGGGTCAGAGTGTTTGAGCTATAGGGAGAGGCTGAATAGGCTTGGGCTACTTTCCGTGGAGAGTTGGAGGCTGAGGGGTGAGGTTATAGAGGTTTAGAAAATCAGAGGTGCATGGACAGGGTGAATAGCCAAGGATTTCTCCCCATAGTGGGGGAATCCACAACTGGAGAGCAGAGGTTTGAAATGAGAGGGGAAAGATATAAAAGGGACCTAACAGGCATCTTTTTCATACAGAGGATGGTGCACATATGGAATGAGCTGCCAGAGGAAGTTGTGGAGGCTGGTACAATTACAACATTTAAAAAGCATCTGGATGCGTATATGAATAGGAAGAGTTTAGAGGGATATGGGCCAAATGCTGGCAAATGGGATTAGATTAATTTAAGATATCTGGTTGGCATGGACAAGTTAGACCAAATAGTCTGTTTCCATGCTGTACAGCACTATGACTCTGTGACCCTCCTCCATGTTTGTCACCTATCCCTGCACCCCTAGTTCCTGTTTCATATGGGTTGCTCCCAGCACAGTAAACCTATTTTAAATCATTTGCATTTCTTGTTAAGACCCAACTCCCCATTATGTCCCTCTTGGTTTATTATCAGTAATCCATTTGTTTGTCTCTTTTTTTCTCTTGGCACTATCTCCACGTATTCTGTTCACCCCTTCAGTCCCACACCCCCCACCCCTCCCCCACCACACCCCTGTCATCAGCATAAATGCTACCATTCCCTCCACCTGGTTTTAGTTCAGATGAAGGGTCACTAGACTGTGTTTTTACTATCCATATATGCTGCCAGATCTGCTTAGTTTCTCCAGCACTTCTGTTTTTGTTTCAGATTTCCATCACCTGTAGTTCCTTATTTTTGTTGTTGGGGGACAGTGTGTGAACAAAAACAAAGTTACTGGAAAAGCTCAGCAAGTCTGTCAGCATCTGGGAAAGGAAAAACAGAGTTGACGTTTCGAGTCTGGTGACCCTTCCTCAGAACTGTGAACATGTGGGTTTGTGGATAGATGTGGTAGAAATAAGAGAAACACAGCTATACATTGTGGGGTGTATATAGTTATTCCCAACTGATCAATAATTACTCTTTCATGTTGAACAGCACATGGAGTAATCAATGAGACAATCAAACACAGAATACACTCAATGTTGAAGACTTCAATCTGCATTACTAAGATTAGCTCAGAAGTACCATCTCTGACTGTCAAAAGTTCAGCAAACTGGCATGAGGAGTAACGGACTTGAATCTTGGAAACAGACCAGTTAGTTTAACATGTGGCATTGGGAAGTTGTTGGAATCCATTAACGAAGTACATTTGGAAAGTCAAAATACAAATCCATCAGAGTCCTTTTGGCTTTATGAAAGCTAATTTATGTTTGACTAATTTGCTAGAGTTCTTTGCAGATGTAACAAGCAGCAAGGATAATTGTAATCCCTGAAGATGTGGTATATCCGGAATTGCAGAAGGCATTTGATAAGTTGCTGCACAAGAGTTAAGATCATTTGGTTTATGGGTAATTTACTACCTTGGATATAGGCATAGCCAACTAACAGAAAGCTGAAAGTCAGGATAAATGGGTCTTCTGGCTGACAAGATGTAACGGGGGTTGGGGGGAGGGGTGGTGATGTCACAGGGTTTGGTTCTTGTGACCCAACTATTTACAATCTATATTAATCAGCTGAATGTGGGGGGATAGAAAGTACTATTACCAATTTGGCAGATGACACTAAAATATGTGGAAACTAAGTTGCATTGAAGAAATAAGACATTTACAAGTAGATATGGAGAGGTTAGGTGAATGGGTCAAACTTTGGGAGTTCAGTATGAATAAATGTGAGGTTATCCATTTTGATCAAAAGAATAGAAAGGCAATTTACTTTTTGATTGGAGAGAAACTTCAGAGCGCTTCAGTGCAGAGAGGTCTGGGTGTCCTTCTGCATGAATCACAGAAAATTAATGTATAGGAACAGCAGGTAATAAGTAAGGGAAATGGAATTTTGCATTTATTGCTAAAAGAATAGTGTCTAAAATTAGGGAAGTGTTACTGTAACAGTACAAGGCATTAGTGAGACCGCACCTGGAGTACTGTGTACTAACCTGGTCCCCTCACTTGAGAAGAGATGTAATTGCATTGGAGGCAGTTCTGAGCATCTTTGCTAGATTGATTCCAGAGATATGGGGATTATATTATCTAAAGAGATTGAGCACTTAAGACCTATACTGTCTGGAGTTTAAAAGAATCAGAGGAAATCTAATTGAGGTACGTTAAGGTGCTAAAGGAGATTGACAAACTTGATGTAGAAAGGATGCTTCCTCAGATGGGGCAATCTAGACTAAGAGGCCATAATTTTAGGATTCGATGCAGCAGATTTAAAACAGATGAGAAGTTACTGTCTTCAAAGGGTCATGAATCTATGGTATTCACAACCCCAGAGTGTGGTGGATGCTGGAACATTTAGTAAATATTTAATGGGTAGAAAGATATATTTTTAATTAGTAACGGGTTGAAGAATTATGGCAAGTGGGCTAAAGTGGAATTGAGGGCGAGACAACATCAGCCATGATCATATCAAATAGATGAATTGCCTACTCCTGCCCCTACTTCTTATTTTTTTTGTCCATTTTAGAGTTTAGTGCATAGTATTTGTAAGTAGTTTGTAACCTATTTTGTTCAATGTGTAAGATGGTGATGCTGTGTGAGAAATGGACAAAAGATACATTGTGTGATACAAGAAAAGACATCAATGAGCTGTTGCTGTATGCCCAACAGTTTTTTTTGTGCCTCCTGATCACATTTTCTGCTGTTAGAAGCTGTTAGGAAATGTGAAACTTCTGCACGTCTATACGTGAAATGTACAGTGGCACTGACAAAATTATTGGCAAATTACATTAATTTTTTGTGCAGACAGATTTTTGTGCAAGTATCCTGTGGAATGATGTGCAGCTGCATTCTGCTCAGGATGAAATATATCATCAATGCTACAATGTGAATAGTAGCTAATAACCTGTTGGATGGCTTGTGGCATGACATAATTTTATGTTGTAATTGTCCATATATTGGACTGTTTTCTCCATCTGACATTGGTACACTGTGTAAAATTGATCTGAGGTGAGGTTGTTGACTTGCTTGCCGAGCTGGCTTGTTTTTGTTCAGACATGTCGTCACCATGCTAGGTGACATCATCAGTGGAGCCTCCGATGAAGCGATGTTATTCTACTGCGCTTGGAATTTATACTGTCTGGTCCGTTATGGTGAGTCTTGTCATTTCCGTTTCTGATCTGTATGGGATTATATATAGGGTCCAATTCTACATGTTTGTTGATAGAAGTGTGGGTGGAGAACAATGCCTCTGAAACAGACAATGAAGGCCATCAGTTTAACTGGGACAAAGTAACCATTGTAGCCCAAGCCAAATATAGACACACACGGGAATTCCTAGAGGCATGATTCTCCACTCGTACTTCAATCAACAAACATATAGAATTGGACCCCATTTATAATCCCATACAGATCAAAACCGGAAATGACAGGACTCGCCATAATGGACCGTACAGTATAAATTCCAAGCGGAGTAGAATAACATCGCTTCATCGGAGGCTCCACTGATGATGTCACCTAGTATGGTGATGAAACATCTGAACAAAAACAAGCCAGCTCGGCGAGCATGTCAATAATCTCAACCACAACCTGAGCTACAGATCTTTACCAATACTTTAAATTGATCTGAGGTGTCCAGCCCAGACTAACTAATGCCAATAATCTCTGGTCTCTCAATAGTTGTTAAACACTAATAGGCAAATGCCAGTGCAATTCACAATTAATCTAAAAGACATTATTGATTTGAGAAGTCTTTAGTAACTTATGATTCTATTGTTCCAGGAGTGTAAAGAGTTTGCACCATGGCAACAACAGGGAAAATGGTTTCTTCTCGACTGCCTCCTCTTCCCACCATTGGAGAAATTATCAAGTTATATAAGCTAAGAGCTAAAAAGCAACTATCTCAGAACTTCTTGTTGGATTTAAGATTAACAGGTAATTGCAAATTTTAAATATCAGATGAAAGATTTTACTCTTTGCTTTTCCATTTGAGGCAGCAACATTTTAACAATGAATCTTCCCATTCTTACATGTCCAAGATTGGGATGTTGTTCAACTAAATTGTCAAGTTCAAATCAATAAACTCAATTATTTAAACATATTACTGCTGTGAAATATGTGTACATCATTTAACAAGAAAAGTTAATGATAAATCTGTATTTTAACATTTCAGAATAAAATTGAGAAAACATCTCAGAATAAAATTCCAGTTTATATACAAGATTACACTTCATGTTAAATTTCAACGTAACCTTATACTGAAAGAGAATTTCTCAGTGATCAACAGACAATGCTACTATATGGATGGAACAAAAATTGAAGTGCTACACTTAGTCTTGAGACAATGGTTTACTTATTGGGAAACTGTTCACTTAAGATAAATGTATAGATGAAATTGTAGCAGTTCTTGGCTGTTGTCAATTTACATTTAAAAACCAAAAATTATATTTAAGTTGGTTAGTGATGATATGGCTTCCTAGTTTACTTCCTGCTGTGGAATGTTATTTGAATTGAAGTTGGATTGTTGAAAACTATTAGAAACTACATTTATAAAATCATGTGCACTTTCTTCATAGCTCTGCAATCTCCCCTTAAAACATTTAGCAAGTACCTACTTGAAAGTTATCAGATTGGATTTATATCTTGTGATAGAAACATGAATGTAGTCTATATTGACTCTTTTGACCCCACACTAATTTTGTGTGGCCTTTTTGTTGGTTGGGAAGGCCTTTGGTTGGGATTCCTTATACATCATTTCTGAGTTGGAGTTGTCAGTGTGAGCCCAATAGGAACCCTCACCTCACTATTTTTGTGCTGTTCTGGTCTTTGGAAGCACAAAAATTGTCTTTAAGGCTTTGGTGGAGAGCTGTTGAGAAATTGGGAATGTTTCTGACAGGGAAGCATTAAATGTTTTGAGAACTTCAGGTGTCACTGTTAGATAATGTATTGTAATGTAAATCTATTTTAAGTGCACTGTTTCATCATAGTGCTCTGACCTCGACATTGATCAGCATTCTTTAAATGTTGTGATAATTGGAGTAAATTGCTCTTGTGCATTCAAAACTAAACAAAACACTGAGATAACAAGGTGCAGGGCTGGATGAACACAGCAGGCCAAGCAGCATCATAGGAGCAGAGAGGCTGACGTTTCGGGCCTAGACCCTTCATTAGAAAAGGGGGAGGGAAAGGGGGTTCTGAAATAAATAGGGAGAGAGTGGGAGGCGGATAGAAGAGGGATAGAGGAGAGGATAGGTGGAGAGGAAACAAACAGGTCGAAGAGGCGGGGATGGAGCCAGTAAAGGTGAGTGTAGGTGTAGGAGTTAGGAAGGGGATAGGTCAGTCCAGGGAGGACGGACAGGTCAAGGGGGCGGGATGAGGTTGGTCGGTAGGAGATGGAGGTGCGGCTTGAGGTGGGAGGAGGGGATAGGTGGGAGGAAGAACATCCTGGGCCTCCTGCAGTGCCACAACGATGCCACCCAAAGGTTGCAGGAACAGCAACTCGTATTCCGCTTGGGAACCCTGCAGCCCAATGGTATCAATGTGGATTTCACAAGTTTCAAAATCTCCCCTCCCCCTACCGCATCCCAAAACCAGTCCAGCTCGTCCCTGCCTCCCTAACCTCTTCTAAATGCGGATTTACAGGGATAGAGTGGGATGCTGTTCGGAGGGTCACTGCAGACTCAATGGGACTAATAGCCTCTTTCTACACTGTAGGGATTCTGTGATTCTAAGTAAACAAGCATTTGGTATTACAGATTGACCATTCAAGGGGATTTGAACCTTGTTTGAATTGTGGAAGAAAGGGAAGCTTCCAGGGACAATTACTCAGAATAGAATTAATAGTTACATGGCCAAAGATGGGTTGATTAGCAAGAGTTGGCATGAATTTCTAAAGGGGAAATTGTGTTGTAACTAAATTGCTGGAGTCTTTTGAAGCAGTAACAGAAAGGTTCGATGAGAGTAACGCTGTTGATGTGGACATGGATCTTCAGGAGGCATTTGATTCAGTGCCACACAAGAGACTTGTGAGGAAAGTTAGAGGTTATGAAGAAGTAAAAAGGTCAGTAGCAACATGGAATGCAAAATTGAGTGATAGGAAACAGAATAATGGTCAATGGATATTTTTCAGCCTGGATGGAAGTTTGTAGTGTTCCCCCGGGGTCTGTTTTGATTCCTTTGCATTTCTTGGTATTTATTAATGATCTAGATCTTTGTGTGCAGGAGACAGTTTCAAAGTTAGCAGATGACACAAAACTTGTAAGAATTGTACACTATGAACAGAACATTATAGAACTCGAAGGACATGGACAAGTTGATAGAGTGGGAGATAGGTGGAGATTGGATTGAATGCAGAGAAGTGTGAAGTCATGTGTTTTGGTAGGACAAATATTGAAAGACAATATAAAATAGGGGGTACAAAGGGGGTACGGAATGGTGAGTGGACCTGGATTTATATGTGCACAGATCATTGAAAGTGGCAGGACTTGTGGCAAAAGCAGTAAGTAAAACAGAGTCCTTGGCCAAATTAATAGGGGCATAGAGTACAAGAGTGAGGAGGTGATACTGAACTTCTTTAAGATTCTTAACTTCTTGTTAGACCTCAACTGGAGTATTAAGTACAGTTATGAGCACCACACAGAGAGAGTACAAAAGCAATTTACAAGAATGGTCCTAGGGATGAGGAACTTCAGTTATGAGGATATATTGAAGAAGTTGGGACTGTTCTCCTTGGAGAGAAGAAGGCTAAGAAGAGATCTGATGCAGATTTTCAAAATCATGAGCGGGCTGGATAGAACAGACAGCAAGAAACTGTTTCCTTTTATAAACAGAACAAGAACAATAGGGATTTGTTTAAAGTGGTCTGCTAAAGAAGTAAGGGTGAAGTGCGAAAAAACCTTTTCATTTAACAAATATTTAGAGTATGGAATGCACTGCCTGGAATTGTGGTGGAGGCAGGTTCAATCGAGGCATTCAAGAGGGCATTGAGTAATTATTTGGATAGAAATAACGTGCAAAAGTTATCGGGAAAAGGCAAGAGATTGGCACTAGGTAATGATTCAGGCACAGTAAGCTGAATGGCCTCCTGTGCTGTAATATCTCTGTGAATAGCTTTTAAAAATTAATTCTTTTTCGATAGTGTGTTTGAATAACAGATGTATTAGGCTGTTCGACATTAATTTTTCATCTGTTATGTGTCTGCCTATTTCACCAACCTATGTCTCTAACATATGTTATTATTTTCTGCACTGTTTACTATGCGTCCAAGTTTTATGTCATTTGAAATCCTTGAAATTATGCACAATATACCAAGGACCAAGCCACATAAAACAGTTGTCTAAAACCCTCTTGGAGAAAATATTTTTCTTTAATGTCCTGTTAATCCTGCTAACTTTTTGATCTCCAAAATTCTGCAATATTTCCTTTGTTACTCTGTTCCTCTTAGTATATTTATAAAACATATTTGTCTTTTTTTTGTCATTTATTTGCCAGTACAATTTCATAACTTCTATGTACACTGATAATTTTCTTTTCAATTTCACCTCTGCGTTCTCTACACTCCTGTAGTATTCAGCTCTCTGTATCTGACTTAAGCTTCCCTTGTTTGCCTTATCTTACTATGTAATGCTCTTTGAGATCAAGGTGTGAGGATCAGTCTAGATTTACAAGCCCCCCCCCCACCCCACTTTTCTTCAAGGAAATATATTCCTTCTGAATTCTCTGTCTGAGACTGAGAAACAGACTCATGTTGCTTTTGACATTAATTTACCTTCAAGTAGCTCTGTAGCTATTTTGCCAAAACACATTACTACACCTTACTAACATTAACTTTCCCCAGTTCAGACTTTTATTGTTGGTCCATATTTAATAATTTTCCCACATTGCATGAAATCTAACTGAATTATGGTCATTATCACCAGGAAGCACTGCCATAGATTTCTACTTGTCTAGATTCAAAAGCCCTAAAATTCAGAATTGGCTATTCTCTTGTTGGATTTGCTTAACATTGCCTGCAAAATGTTCTCCTTAAGCAATTTTAAGAATTTTGTGCTCTCTCCTTTTACACTGATCTTATCCAAGCTAATACTAGGTTAGTTGAAGTGTGCTACTATTCGTTCCCTCCTGTTTCTGACCTTTAACAATTTCTATATATATTTGACTCTGAGGTCTATACTGTATTCTACTCCCAGGAGTCTGTTTGTCTCTGTTTTCCTGTTCAACCCATAAATTGTAATCTGACAATCCAATCTAGCAAGTAATTATCATTTTAAAATTAAATCATCTATTTCAGACAAAATAGTTCGGCATGCTGGGAATCTGAACAACTCCTATGTCTGTGAAGTGGGCCCAGGCCCAGGTGGCATTACTCGATCAATTCTTAATGCTGGCATTGCAGAATTACTTGTGGTTGAAAAAGATACTAGATTTATTCCTGGTTTACAGGTAACAACTCTGCTTAGTAATCAAATAAATTAATGTAAATAAGCAGTATTGTAAGGCGGATTGATTTAAACTTTGTAAGCTCAAAAGACAGCCAAGACAATATTTCTGATAGGAAAATGAGTAAAATTGTCAGTATAAATATGATCGTAGTTTTTTTAATGTTCATTTGGATTTGACTTCAAATAGTTTACCTGATATTTACTCAGTTTTTATTGTTACACAAAACGCAAGTTATTTGAACTCTAGGAGCAGGTTTCTAAAGTGAACAGAAGTATTTTTTCACTTAGATCTGTATTTGAAAATCATTATCTTAAGGCAAGTATTGGATCTCTTCACCAAAAGAGACCTGCCATGTAAGATCTAAACTCTATCAATGTTGTTCTGATATTTACGCAGAACCTTTCCATCTCCAGCTGCTGTATGCTTTATTCTATTCATGTGTGGAATACTTTGAAGGAGAATTGCTTCCATCGCTACATTCCAGCTTAATCTTTTAGTAAATAAACTGTGAAGTCACTGTATTGCATTCTGTGTTAATCGCACTTTCAGTTGGAAGGTGTAGATAAAAGACTGGAGTTTTGTAACATAATAGTCATTTTGTATCTGTATAGTTGCTGGCTGAAGCAGCACCTGGGAAATTGCGCATCATTCATGGAGATATTCTGACCTACAAACTGGAAAGGGCTTTTCCAAAGCAATTTCAAAATGAGTGGGAAGGTGGTAAGTTTGTTTGGTAAGAGATTTTTAAGATATTAGTTGATCTGAGAATTTTTCCTCCTCAGAATTTGTGTTTTGAATTCATTACGTAATGAAAGAATGCTAAATATGAATTCTGGAATGTTAGTTGGTTCCACTTCATATAGCTACAATGAAGCATTATTTGTAAGTAATTGAATTAATTTTTCAAAGATTAGTCATTGACTTGATGTTTATTTTAAATGTAGTATTCAGATCATTATATGAAGTTTTGATTATATATGTATAATAATACAGTTAAAAAGAATTTATGATTCGGTCAATGAGTCTTAGAAAGCAAAAGGAAAAAGACGTCTTAAGGAATACATCAATACTTTTTCAACTATAATTTAAAGTGTGATCTCTCTGATATATATTAGGTGAACACTGCGTACCAGGCATTACAGAAGTACTTTCAGTTTCCTAATGCTTCAAACCAGTGAATGATTTGCCTATAAAATGCCAAGTTCTTGACTAGGTCAGATTTTCTAACATGTAAAAGAACATGTTACACTATTTGTAAACCTGAAGCTAATCTTAAACAGTTTATGTAACTCACAACAGAATCAACAGATGGATAAAATGAATAAGCCACATTGCTTCTGAAACCGAAAGTATTGCAGAAGGAAAACACTTAACAAATACCCTGACTATTATGGAACCTAGTCCCACTGACTTTGATCCTCAATAGTCAAACTAAAGTCTGACTTCACTGTTAAGCTGCTTAATAGGGCACCTTCACACGAAGGAGACAGCAACAATTTGCAACTATTCACATTTATCTGTTAGTCAGCTCAGATTTTTTTTGAAAGTAGGTAGGAGATAAATTATAAATATGTTCTTTGTGATTATGCAGCAGGTTCATTATTAAGTTAATAACTGTGGTTTCTTGCATGCAGTTAATTTTATAACTTTATCTGTGATAAGATCACTTTTGGTTAACCTCTTGTCACATAATGTTGCTGTTGACATTGCCTTACTTATTCTTAGCATTTTTCATAATCTTACTGGACAATGCAGTGCTCCTGAAGTGCAGTTTCTGTTATAATATATGAAAAGAGCAGTGTTCCTGATACCAGTGCCTGGGGGACACCAGTATTTACTTGCCTCCAGCCAGAGAAATTGTTGTCCACAACTAATCTCTATTTTGCAATCAGTTTAGTGTCACTGCTCTTTATTCCTATGGTCTTCAATTTGCTACACCTTGATCTGTGGCAGTTCAAATGACTTTTAAGAGTCCAGTATTTCAGATATGTCAGCTGAGGGATAAATATTGTCCAAGGCATCAAGAAGCCCTATTCTTAAAATAATAATCTTTTGCACACACCTGAAAGGGCTAATGGGACCTCTGTTTAGTATGTCATCCAATAGTCCAGCACTCCTTCAGTAAAAGACTAAAATATCAACCCCAATTATGCACTCAGATCTGAGAAACTTGAACCCAACAGCTTGTAATGCTGAGGTGAGAGTGGTACCACTGAGTGAAAACTGACACTGCAGTGTCTGGAGAGTGACTCAGTAAAGTTTTCCCTTTTGCTTGTCTATCCTCCTTTTAAAATTATTTGCTCCACAGCAAATAAATTACTTCTTGACATTGGATGAGTAATTCAGCTATGAATCCGTGTTTCCTTGAAATTTAATTCTATGATGGCAATTTGGATATATGACGAGATTTATTACCATCTTGTATCTAAGGTGAGTGGTTGAGGCAACTTTGAAAATATGATGTCAAGCTGGTAAAACCATGAAGGAGGGTTTGTAGTAAGCTACTTAATGAAATATTGTTAAATTTTCTGAATTTATAGTAGTACAGAATAAAAGAGAGGTATAGATATCTTGTATGAAAAGACAATGCATTCCATTTTTGCATTTAATGTGATACAGTTTTGAAAACTAGTAAAAACTAATAACTAAATTATGTAAAGAACCAACTTCTAAAAGGCAACTATTGGAAAAAAAACAGAAATTTCAAAGGAAGCTTACTAAATTAAATCATAATTTGTTTTTGGGAGGATATGATACATACCAGACCCTATGGTGCCCAGAGGTTGCAAAATGCAGTATTTTACATTATATCACCTAATGATCATTGTGTTTCATAATTGTGGTTCGCTAGTGTCTTATAATAATAGAACGTTGCAGATATTTTTGTGCAGCAGAGAATATAGGGTATCAAAAATTAACATATTACATAAAAATCTTTCTACTAAATGACTTCTGCAATTTTCTTAAGTTCTAATTTATTCTATAACTTAATATTGCCACTTAGGAAATATTTGGGCGTTAAGATTGTCTGAGAATAAAATGAACATTATTTATGTCAAATTAAGGCAGTAGTGATGTGCATGCGTTTAGTAAATGGAATAACTCCACAAAGACTGGTATCCCATCACCAAGTCATCCTTTATTTACACATGGAGACTCCTTGACAGTGATCCGGCTCCTTCCGAGCCAGCTCTCGGTGTCAGGATGTCTGATGCTCCTCTTTTTATCTGTCAGACAGGACTCCCTAATGGGACCAGATTAACAGACCCAAGGAATGCACATTCTGTGAGGTCCACCTGGTTGACCTCAGTACAATCACTACATCTCTCCCCCTCTTTTCTTTTTGTAGCCCCTCTTGGGGTGTTTTACCTTGGGATGAGGTTCCTCCAACTCTGCCTCTTGTATGATTGGCATGTAACGCACAGTAGCTCGCCTCTTGTGCGAAGAATTTCAGAAGAAATTCATTCTTTTCTTCAGGCAGCAAAGCGTCAAAGCAGCGACATCCACGATGTCCATTTCAGATTCTGAAGTATCTTCAATGCTTGATGGAGAGGAAGAACCCATGGATTCTGGATCAGTCAGAAAGGCTCAAGGACCATCATTCAGGACCTACGTGAACTTCATAAGTCACTGGAACTGACCTCAGGTTGACCTTGCAGCTCTTACATGCAAACACATACACGCACCTCCTCGCCCACCCTGGTCTGGGAAGATCAAACTGAACCTGGTCAGGATTCTTCTCCCTATTAGTGATTCTGCTGCAGCTATCCCTGTAGCTGCATAAGGCGTGGTCCTATAATCAAATAGGATTAGGGTTGGTTTGGTGTCTAGTGCTACGCTAGGCCGTTTCTTTAAGCCTGCCTTCAAAGTTTGGACTGCTCTTTCTGCAGTCTGTTGGATGATGGATGGTATGGAGCTATCCTTATATTGTCGAATACCATTTAGAAAATACTCAAATTCTCGGCTGGTAAACAATGGCCCGTTATCTGTGACCAACATTTCTGGGAGTCCATGTATCGCAAAAGATGCACGCAATTTTTCTATCATTGCCCCGGTGATTGACAAACAAACTCTGTGCACGTCCAGCCACTTTGATTGGGGGTTCACAATGACGAAGAACATTGAGCCCATGAAAGGGCCTGCATAGTTGATGTGCAACTAAGTCCACGGTCTACCTGGCCATTTTCATGAATGTGGGTGAGCTGCTGGCAGTAATTTTTTCTATCGTTCACAATCTGGGCACTGCCCCACCAATGCAGCTATCCTGGCCACCAGACGTAAATTAGAGTCATAGAGTTGTACAGCACGGAAAGAGACCCTTTGGTCCAACTCGTCCATGCTGACCAGGTATTCTAAATTAATCTAATCCCATTTGCCAGAATTTGGCCCAAATCCCTGTCAACCCTTCCTATTCATGTATCCATCCAGATGCCTTTTAAATGTTGTATTTGTACCAGCCTCTATCACTTCCTCTGGCAACTCATGCCTTACACACACCACCCTCTGCCCCTGAGGTTCCTTTTAAATCTTTCTCCTCTCACCTTAAACCTGTGCCGTCTAGTTTTGGGGAAAAAGACCTTGACTATTCACTCTGTCCATGCCCCTCATGATTTTATGAACTTCTACAAGGTCACCCCTCAGCCTCCGCTCCCGGGAAAACAGCACCAGCCCATTCAGCCTCTCCCTATAGTTCAAACTCTCCAACTCCGGTAACATCCATATAAATTTTTTTCTGAACCCTTTCCTATGGCAGGGAGACCAGAATTGAATGCAATATTCTAAAAGTGACCTAAACAATGACCTGTACAGCCAAAACATGACATCCTATCACCTATACTCAATGTTATGACCAATAAAGGCAAGCATACCAAATGCCTCCTTCATTCCCTGTCTACCTGTGACTCTACTTTCAAGAAACTATGAACCTACACTCTAAGGTCTCTTTGTTCGGCAACACACCCCAGGACCCTACATTAAGCGTATAAGTCCTGCCCTGATTTGCCTTACCAAAATGCAGCACCTCACATTTATCTAAATTAAACTCCATCTGTCACGACACCACCAATTTTGGTGTCATCTACAAATTTACTAACGATTCCTCCTATAAACACATCCAAATCATTTATATAAATGACAGAGTGCAGTGGATCCAGCATTGATCCTTGTGGCACACCACTGGTCACAGGCCTCCAGTCAGAAAATTAACCCAGCACCACCAGCTTCTGTCTCCTATCTTCAAGCCAATTTTGTATCCAGATGGCTAGCTCTCCCTGGATTCCATATGATCTAACCTTGCTAACCAGTATACCATGTGGAACCTTGTCTGCCTTCGTCAATCATCTTCATCCCTTTTTCAAAAAACTCAATCAAGTTAGTGGGATACGATTTCCTACGCACACAGCCATGTTGATTATCCCTAATCAGTCCTTGCCTTTCCACATATGAAAATCCTGTCCCTCAGAATCCCCTCCAACAACTTACTTGCTGGTCTGTAGTTCCCTGGCTTTTCCTTATAGCCTTTCTGAAATAGTGGCACCACATTAGCCACCCTCCAGACTTCAGGCACCTCACCCATGGCTATCGATGATACAAGTATCTCACATGAGGCCTGGCAATCACTTCCCTGTCTTCCAACAAAGTTTTGAGATGCACCTGATCAGGTCCTGGGGATCTATCCACCTTTTATGCATTTTAAGATCCAGCATCTCTTCCTGTGTAAT